GTGTGGACGACTGTGAGCACTCCTGTTGAAACATTCATGATGTTGCCGTGTGGTATGCCTACTTCCTGTCCTGTATCTCGCTAAGTAAAGCTAAGAAGGTCATGTGTGACCTATTTGGTCTTGTGAATTTGACTGACTCATTCAACTTGAGACCACCCAAATGCTACAATGCAATCTCAAGAGGTTGTACCATGTAGATAGATAAGCGTATCTGGAGTTCCAGTGAGAGATGAGAGCTGGAGATACACTTAACTTGGTTCAAAATTGTCAACATCATGAGAACTTGTGATGGCTAATGGATGAATAACATGAAAAACAGTTTCTGGAAATTTTTTTTTTTTTGGAGACAGAGTTTCTGTCTTGTTACCCAGGCTGGAGTGCAATGGCGCGATCTCGGCTCACCGCAACCTCCGCCTCCTGGGTTCAGGCAATTCTCCTGCCTCAGCCTCCTGAGTAGCTAGGATTAAAGGCACGCATCACCATGCCCAGCTAATTTTTTGTATTTTTAGTAGAGATGGGGTTTCACCATGTTGACCAGGATGGTCTCGATCTCTTGACCTCGTGATCCACCTGCCTTGGCCTCCCAAAGTGCTGGGATTACAAGCGTGAGCCACTGCGCCTGGCAGTTTCTGGAAATTTTTATTAGAGAAGAACTCCATTTATTATTATATTTTCCTCTGAATTATCACAAGAAGTTTTAAGATGGAAAGGAGTAATTCTCAGGGGAACTGGCAATGGTGAACATGAGGGAGCTTTGCCAGATCTCTAGGTTTCAGCCCACCGAGGGTAGGCACATGCCTCGCACACCTTCTCTCCTTTTCTGGAAGCCTGCACAGTGCTAGGCACATAGCAAGCACTCAAGCAAGACCTGATTAGCTTCAGAGGGAAAGGAGCTTACACGGTACCTGAGTATCTTCTTACCTTTTCTTGACTCATGTTACTCTTCTTAACTTTCCCCATGCTTTTCTAATCTCTAGCTACCCATCAGTCCCCCCAAATCACAGCAGGGCACATGTTGCATAAGCCAGGTGATTCTAGATTCCCCAACTTTTTTTTTTTTTTTTTTTGTGAGATGGAGTCTCGCTTTGTCACCCAAGTTGGAGTGCAGTGGCACAATCTCAGCTCACTGCAAACTCCATCTCCCAGATTCAATAGATTCTCCTGCCTCAGCCTCCAGAGTAGCTGGTATTACAGGTGCCCACCACCAAGACTGGCTACTTTTTGTATTTTCAATAGAGATGCGATTTTACCAGGTTTGCCAGGCTGGTCTTGAACTCGTGATCTCAAGTGATCTGCCCACTTTGGCCTCCCAAAGTGCTGAGACTACAGGCATGAGCCACCATGCCTGGCCTCTAGATCCCCCAACTTTTCTTTGTACCTCCTGCAATTTTGCTGTTATCTTTATTAGCTGCACCCTCTAAATGTTAGCTTTGAAGGAGAAGCTTTCATGCTGAGGATAAATGGTACACGTGGTAGAGCAAAGCTGGTGGATTTCTGTAACCCAGTAGAAAGAAGGGCCCAATTGTACCTGTGAATTTGAAGGTTGGTATTGTCCAGTGTGACCAGCCCATTGGTGGCAGTCCTTCGGTAGCCTGCTGGGGGCCTTTCCAACATATCAATAGGATACCAGTATCGCACCAGCACACCTTCACTGCGGAGGTACGTTTCTACCTGCACCAATTCATTCACCTACAATAGGAAAAGAAAATGTCTGTTTGTGCTGCTTGCTTTTATTTTCTGTGTGTGTGTGTGTGTGTGTGTGTGTGTGTGTGTATGTATTTTTAGTCCAGGTTTTTAGGTATTATAATTTGTAATAATTGCTATTTCATGGACAAAACAAATAAAAGAGAATTCACAATACATTTTTGAAACACATATTATAAGTAATCTTATTACTATATAAACTTGCTACATGCTTTTCTAAGAAAATAACAAAATAACAAAACATCAGAAATCAAGGAGATTTTATTTTTTTGAGATGGAGTCTCACTGTGTCGTCCAGGCTGGAGTGCAGTGGCATTATCTTGGCCAAAAGATTCTCCTGCCTCAGCCTCCCGAGTAGCTAGGACTACAGGTAGCCACCACTGTGCCCAGCTAATTTTTGTATTTTTAGTGGAGATGGGGTTTTATCATATTGGCCAGGCTGGTCTTGAACTCCCCACCTGAAGTGATCCACCGGCTTTGGCCTCCCAAAGTGCTGGGGTTATAGATGTAAGCCACCATGCCCGGCCAGGAATCAGAGAGATTTTAAATGAATTCTTAAATGCGAATGTGAATTAACTACATACTAGAAAGGCTAAAAGCCATTTATTTAAAAAAAAACCACTTCAATCAAAAATTTTTTTAAAAGTACAGTATACACACACACACACACACACACACACACACACACACACACAAACGAGACTTATATATATACATATATAAAATATATTTATACATATATATAATCAGACTATAGCAATAAATGCTAGTTTCATGCCATTGATTTAGTCCAAGTTCAAAGACATCTGCTTAGTACTGAGTGTTTTAGTTTTTCCATACCAGATGGAAAATTTTAATTAATACAATAAATAAAAGATTTTCAATGTAATCATGAGTTAGCAATTTAAAGAGAATAGTGCTATATTTCCAGCACACACTGTTGCTAGGGAAAATTTATGTTCATTGTTTTTATGTTAATAATATCTTAAAAGCAGGGAATCTGTCTGATAGCTCTATTTTATTTCTAGGGAAATAAAAAGCTCATACATATGCATTCTGGATGCAAATACCAATGCAATTTTCTTTTAGGAATTATTAAAATGGAGAGAATCAAATTACCTTAGAAATAACAGAATGATTACAATTAAGGACATTTTTATTTTTTGAATTTTTATTTCCACACATTTCCGTTGCTCAAAAATATTGTTAGTAATGTATTTTCTTTTTTTTT